AGACCCTGTCTCAAAACAAAACCAAACAAACAAACAAAAAAGAATGACAATGTTGGAACGTTGGCATAATAAGAAATTCAAATTAAAATATTTGAAAACAAAATTTTAGCACAATATCCATGTCTACCTCAGTTCTTTGTCTTATTTGTAAAAATCACATAAACAACCTGGTGTTTCCAGTACCCTACCAAATTATCCAGTATATTTCAATATCCCCATTTCTTAACTGCCTTATAATTATTGCTTGATTTATTAAATAGAAGACTGATTGAATCGAGAATGGTTGATTTTTCTATGCCAAAAAAGTCGACGTCTATTAAAGCATATTCTACGCAAGACTTAATGTAAACTGGATTTCAAGAATGTGCAGAAGTGGGAGTATATGGACATATTGTGAACTTCTATTTGTGCAACTGCTGAGATTGTTTCTTAATCCAGCAAGGTAATCAGTTCCAAATTAGTGTTCAGATTAGATAATGACAACTTAAACATGTCTCACCCTATTTGTAAACATAAGCACTCTTTTCCATTCCAGAGTTTTCAGAAAAACACATATATTAAGAAGTGTAGGGTTAAACCTAATTTTAATTGTACTTTCTTTTTTTTTATTTTTCTTTTTTCTTTTTTTGAGACGGATTCTAGCTCTGTTGCCCAGGCTGGAGTGCAATCTCGGCTCACTGCAAGCTCTGCCTCCCGGGTTCACGCCATTCTCCTGCCTCAGCCTCCCAAGTAGCTGGGACTACAGGTGCCCGCCACCACACCCTGCTAATGTTTTGTATTTTTAGTAGACACGGGGTTTCCCTGTGTTAGCCAGGGTGGTCTCGATCTCCTGACCTCGAGATTCGCCGGCCTCGGCCTCCCAAAGTGCTGGGATTACAGGCATGAGCCACCGTGCCCGGCGCTTAGTTGTACTTTCTATCCTATTCACATCATAGGCAGGGTAAGTGAAGGGAAAGGAAGTAATAGTCGCCTTTGCTTTCTTCTTTTGGAAGAAACAACATATGCAAACTAGAAGGTAATCACCTTTAATGAACGCAAATATTAATATTTTAATGTGTGCAACAAAGCCCGAAAAAAGCAAGAATCATATTAAAATTAGGGGGGAAAACCCAAAAGATTAAAAAAATGTAAATAACATTCTTGGGTAATAGGAAATAATTAAGACCACAAATTTTTTTATAAACCTAGCAGTTTTACATTTTAGATGTTACTCCACAATCATCACAGAATTATAGCTAGCTCTTACCTAATTAACTAACTGATTAGACAGAATACAGTAGAGATGAAACAATTCTTAAATGTTCTTGACTTTTTTCTGATACATTTGTGTCCTTCACAAATACAACATATACATATACAGTTTTCCTGAGAAGTTCCAATTATATCTACTCTTAGCTCTAAAATTAACTTATTAAACTTGTAAGCACATTTAATTTTATGTCCTTATAAAATTTAGCATAGAAGATGATTATTTAAGCA